CTCTCTCTGTGTGTCAAATAAATAAATAAATAAATCTTTAAAAAAAAAAAAAAAAGCAACACCAACAGAATCTTCAGCCATAACTCAAGTTTAGTGAAGTTTCACAAGTGCTGACTTTGTCCTGTGAGGATACTTTGATACTTCAGGTGTTTTTGAAATATACAATTTTTAAAAATCTATTTTGACATTTCTGCTTTCCTTGGACACTACACATTTCTCTATTGGATAAGGCCACCATGGTCCATTCAATTTATAGAAATAGACAAGGATTTGGGAGATCCAGGCTTGAGTTCCAGCTCTTTGCTTTGTCCTCTGTTGTGTAACGATGGCAGTTCATTTCATCTCTTCATACCAGTCAATCCACTTATCAGATCTGTTTAGCTACTGTTTAAAATAATGAATGCAAAAAGTCAATGAAAAATATAAAGCATTATATAAATCTAAGAAAACAAGTCTGGATTCTTAGGAAAAAAAAGCATTTTTATGAAAGAGATGCCTCATAATTATTTACATGATAAATAGTGTTTGGTCATTAGTTTATAAATTTCTATATGGTTAGGTTCTCATCCTTCCTTTGGATGTTAATTTCTATTAATAAGCAATATATGTGCCTTGTCATAAGGCAGTTGTCTTTTTAGTGTTTAGTTCAGAGAGAGCAAGACTAATATCCATTCGTGTTTTGTTTTGCTTCTTATTACTAACAAGATGCAGTGTTTCTGCATGAACAAATTCTAAGTAAATACTCTCTATCCTTCCAAAATATAAAGATATTTCTAAGAATACATTTTCAAGTGAAGTATTAATCTCATCAGTGTTCTTGAAAATGTTCTGTCCTCTATATTCAAAGCTCAGTTTCTATCCCAGAAACAAATAAGTGGATTAGATTTGAAGAGTGGGTCAAGGAAAAAGACATTTATGCATGATTAAAGCATTTTATGTAATTAATTATAGTATTGGTAGAATGGTATTTCAAGTATCCAAGTCAAAATATTTTTCAATTTTGGTCCTTTACTTCCAGGTTTTATTTGCAACAGCTATTACATATTGCATAAAGGATGTTAGGACTTTGATGAATGGACAGCAGAAGAACACATCTCTGAGTTTTATCACCGCTTATGAATATCTATTTAAAGTTGACTTAGCATTTCAAATGTTCACTCCCGGCAAATGGAAACAGAGCCTTTCATTAGAGTAGGAACCATAAGGGCATTTAGCCCCTGCCTCAATTTCTAAAGAGGCTTCACGTGTGGGCTTTCAATGTTATCTCTAAATGGGGTTACTGGAGGGTACCGACAGGATCAAAAGACAGGGCTTTAATTATGAAATGTATTTATTCAAATGTACCATAATTTAAGAACTTTTTAAGGATATTTCTTCATTTTTAAAAATACTCTAAGTACTTCAGCAATGAAGGTTGCCTAGGATTCTTAAATTCAAAGAAGCCGGGGAGGAAAAATTCTAGATAAGGAAAAAGAAATTATTTTCCGTCTTCACCTGCATGGCCAGAGAAATATTATTTCAGAAATGAGTGTGAGATGTAATGAGTCTGTTCTGGGGGTCTTTTGTCCTTGTGCTTAAGAAGACTCCGGGGTCTGCGGGCCCCAGTGAGCTTGAGGTGGGGAAGAAAGGATTTGAGGAGAGTGGGATGCCTTGGCAGGTCTCCCCATAAAATGGATTTTGAACACCAAGAAAAATCCCCCCAAGTAAGTGCTTTTATCCACTTACATAACATGTAGTGACATGCCAAGTGCTGTGCCAGAATAACATTGCAGAGAATAGTGTGATAAAAGACTTGCTGAATTTTTTTTCTAAGATACAAAGTGGGACTTTATATTTTTTCCATGTACACATGAACACAAACATATTTGTGACCCTTACAGGTACTCTATTTTTCAGAGTTAAACTATAAAAGAAATGTAATATGATTAATAATAATTATTAAAAAAATGGATTTGGAGCGACGTAATGCTAGGACAAGTAATACAGTTGAGTCAGGTCAATGGTGAATCTGTCTAGAAGGGATTCCTACACAGGTGCCTTCTTAGCATCAGGAAAAGGGCAGATTGTGGAGAGCATCAGGACCCTGGAAGCAAATTCAGGATGTCTTCAAGTCCATCATTTGCCCATCATTTTTTCAATGGAAGGTTTCTCTTTTATATAAGTAGAGAAAGATGTAATAGAAATCCTCTATGAAAATCAATCGGACATTCTTCTCAAATCCTCTTTGTTGAATTTACTGGTCAGCCCCATAGTTCCAATGGACTATGACTCCATGTGAGTTAAAATATCAGGACCAGGCATGTCTCATGGATTTTTTTTTTAACTTCGGAATTGCTTTAATGTAGGTTTTCAGAGAGTCAGAAAAAAAGAAAAAAGATCTTTAAGTTAGATAAACAAATCAGGCAAAGGTGTGAGTTCCCTCAGTAAAATAGATGAATAGGAATCAAATTTGTGTGTGTGTGTGTGTGTGTGTGTGTGTGTAGTTAAGGGAAATAACATAAGAGAAAGTGAGAATTTAAATTGTGTATATATTTCCTTATTCAATAACTAATATAAAACAGTTTGATGAAATACTTTCAAATTGTTCTGTTTATTTTTCTCTCATGATTCTTTGTACAGTATGAAGAAGTACATTTTAAAACCAGACAACAAATTTTAATTTACAAAGGATAGTTATATTAAAAACCCTAGTAGAGTTGAATTTTAATACCTGTATATGGATAAGCCACAAGAGATTTTAATTGTGGACTTATACCTTCTCTTTGGTATTCTTATGGCTTTTTTTGCCCTGATCTAGGATAAGTGATGCAAACTGATTTTATTATTAAATTCAAGGCAAAGTACGCTTTACAATTTTGGATTTTAATATGTGGGGTTTCTTCAATGGTGTGCTCTTTCTACAGCATGAATAAGTAAAAGTTGACCCCATCACTATTAATGGAATTGGTGTAGACTTGTACTTAACTCTACACAAACTGCATATTTTCTTTCCTAGCTACAAACTTAAAATACAGTAGTGTTCGTAACAGCTGTGCATGCACCTGAGAAATTGCCTGTAGCATTTATGTCTAATTCCCAACTCATTTCTTCTTCTTTATCTCATATTTCATGTACCAGTGTTAGTATGATGGTGGAAGACTAATGCCCTGTATCACACTTCTTAGTAGCACTGCCTGAGTCCATGTCTGCTTTTATTTAGAGAAATTTAACTATCTGTCAGCTTCCCTTCAGAAGTTATTTGCTTTGATAAGAGAAATACCTTGGTTTTTGAAAAGTTAATATTTTAAAAATTACTGACAAGAGTATTGATTTCTAATGTGATTCTAGATCATGGTTCTGAAAATAGAAACTCTGTATAGGGTATGGGGAAAGCTTGCTCTGACCCTCAGTGTGAGCTGTTGTGGACATAAATTATGAAAGACTGACATAAGATAACAAATGGAAGAAGTGGCCAAAATGCATTTCCAGGTGTGTCATTTTCTGTGGAAGGGATGATTCACTGCAGTAAATATGTACGAGTTCTTAGAATTATCTGTTATTTTCAATTAAAATGTTTTGAAAAGCCATAACGAAGAAATGCTCATTAATTCAAAGTCCAAAGTTTCTTGTTTCTAGTTGGGGCTAAATTTTTTAAAATATATGTAAAATTGGATAAAACTATGGTGGTGCTAGCAGTAAGTTTAAAAACAACATTGACAATTTTTAATAAGGAAAATTCACTATAGACTATCTGCACACTGTGATTACTTTTCCTAAAAGAAATGCAGAAATATAAACAGATATCCATCCAGATGTGGTTGATTTTTTTTTCTCCACATCACATTATTAGCTATTATTAAGACACATGCAATCAAGTTGGATAGATATTTCTTGAAATGATGCATGGTATGCAGTGCATGCTTTCATTGTGCTTCCTGCCATTATGGAATAATGCGTCTTATTTGGAAATACACTGATCATTTCTGTTGACTCAGGCTCAGTCAGCTTATATAATAACACCTCTATTTTGTGAATCATTTCAGATTTCAGAGAGCTATGCCTTCCTACCAAGAGAAGCGGTGACACGGTTTCTAATGAGCTGCTCAGAGTGCCAGAAAAGAATGCATTTAAACCCAGATGGAACAGATCACAAAGGTAGCCACAGTGTCAAATAGTGAGACTTAAAGTAATTCTATTCATAGTGGCAATTTATATCCCACATTTTTATAAAAATGTGGCAGACTGAAACAGTTCAACAAGTCAGATCATCTCATTTATTGGAGTAGGAGGCAGTGAATTTTGAATATCCACTTCCAGAATAATTCTGTGCCCATTCTCAGAAGAAAGGCAGTTTTGGCTGTGGCAAATAATTTTTTTCCTATAATAATATTTTAGCTTTCACATATTGTGTGTATTTCATGGTATTTTAAATATATTTAGCAAGGAAATTGATGTTCCATCAGTGTCCTTTTAAACCTACCAATTCCTTATTTGTGAAAGTGATGAGTAGTATGGAGCTCCCTAACTGAAAATTTTTATATGCAAGTTATAATTTGTCTTTAGCTCTCATTAAAAATTATTTAGATGATTTTCCTAATCTATCAATTTCTCTCAGAGTTTAAATTAATCTCAAAGATACATTTAGGTTAGCCCACTCCCATATGTTGGGGGATGAATAGACAAAAAAGAAAAAGATAAAAGAAAAAAAACTGCACAAATTTCCTTTTTCACTCAAGTAGCACATAGAGAAAGTAGTTATGCAGCAAAGGAGAAAAATACAAAAATACAGGTAATTGTGTTTAATCACTATATTGGCTTCACCCACTGTTACTGGGGTATCAAAAAGCTCCCCTAGAGTTAGAGGTAGCTAATTTATCTGTAGCGTTAATTTGGCCCATACACCTTTTTATGGTTATTTTTTTCCTACAACCCATCCATAATGCTACCAATCTCCTGAAGACTTGGTATCTAGAATCCTATTTCAATTTGAACAAATTGAATCATTCTGAAATTACAGGTAGAATGTGGTATCACTTTCATACCCATTAAAAATGTTTCATTACAGATAATGGAAAACCTCCCACTTTGGTGACCAGCATGATTGACTACAACATGCCCATTACCATGGCCTATATGAAGCATATGAAATTGCAGCTGCTAAACTCACAGCAAGATGAGGTAAAGCGGAAATATCTACTTCCAAGTCAGAATGAAGTTTGATAACCATGACTATTGTATTAAGCATGACGGCATTGTGAAGACGGTAATTTATTTTTTAATGAAAGGAGTGTCACTGGGATTGCACAGATGGAGAAATGGGCAGAAACTTCTAGTCCTTGATAGAGAGTCCCTGTCTCAACGCAGCTACCTTAGTGCTCTGTGGGAATGTGTTCGTTCCCAAGAAAGATTCATTTCACTTAATTAACTGCCATCAAGCCGGCCTTGGTAAAGGGCTAGAAAGTTCAGGGGAAAGCATCCCGAATGAGTGAGTATCCAAGGAAAGTATCTAAGCCTTTAGTACGAAGGCTATTTTGCCTGGAAGTAAAAAAATCATTTTAATAGGTATTTCAAGTATAATAATTTTTCCACCATCAAAATCTTTCATACGTTTTAATGCTTTTTTTTCCCTTTCATTATTCTCTATATTAGTTTGTCTACTTCTCCGCATTTTCTAGAGATAAGTTCGGTGATTCTTCCTAATTAGAGGTATTTCGATGTTTCAAGTTATTCTGTTTAATTTGTATGGTAAGAATCTAGAAATATGCTTGCTGGCAGGTATTAGACACAAATGCACATTTGTTGAATATTCTCTAGGATACTAATGAACTATTCAGTTTGGTGGAAGTATCTCAAAGACAGGGACCAATTTATATATATTCCCCCCAAAACCTGTAGCAATAGGGACTTGGGAAATCCTTGTAAACTAGTTTAGTAGCCATTAATTAATGGGCACATTCGGATTATCAATATTAGGAATAGGTTCACAGGCTAATACATACACTGCTTCTTGAAATTTCTCAAGAGCAGGAAATGTGGTTAAATATTTTTCAAATACAGCATTACTTGGTGAAGTATTATAAAATTCTTTCAATATTACTTTGTTGAGCTTACTTTATTAAAACTCGGTTTTTTGTTTTGTTTTGTTTTCCTCTGTATTTGAACAGGTTTAATCTCAAAACTATATTTATAAATTTGTTTGATCTCAAAAAACTAGTAAGGGTACACTCTATGAGATGATCTGCATTTGTACAATGGCAGTTTGGATTTCATATTACCAGATGGCTACATATAAATGATTAAATAAATAGTAGTAAAATCATTGGGTTAAAGACATGAGAGATAACTAAAAAAAACATTAATGTCTATCTATCCCAGAGAATGGAAAAATTATTCCCATCACTTATTATATAATTGGAAAAAAATTTAAAACTTCATAAACTAGTTAGAGCTGTCAAATTATTTGTAGGAAGCTCATTCAGATGTTGGTACATTTATTTCTAGGCTAAAAAGTAAGAAGATCAACTTTGTGCCAACAATACAGCCCACACATGCTGATTCTTTCTGGCTTCCAAAAAATCATAAGTATTTCACACAAAGGAAGTAGATCCTTTTAATTTATAACTGGATTAGGAAAATAACTCTCATCCTTACGTTTTGAAGATACCAATTGGATGTACACTGCCTTAAAAATATTCAGATAAGTGACTGCATTTTTTGCAAAATTTTAGAAGTCATAATTATCGAAAGATAGGAAGGTGATTAAGTAAATCACATGAAAAAGGAATTCAAGTGATACATTTCTTTGTGATCAGTTATATTTAAATTTTAATGTGTTAATTCAATTAGTTCAACAAATGTTTTTGACTACCTTCTATGTAACTGGCCCTCTTGTAGATAATGGAGGTAAACAGTGAGTAAATTGACAAAAATCTTACGTTTATTAAACTTAACTTCTAGTGAGGGGGAGAAAATGAAGTAAGTAATGAAAGTGTGTTTGTAAGAAGATGCGAAATGCTATTAAGAGAGATAAAGACAGGAGTGGGAATCCCTTTAAGATTACAAAATACTTTATCCAATGTAAGATCAGTTGACTTTCTTATAAATTGTTGACGGAGTTTAAACCAGGATAAACTTACAGGGAGGAAGTTTGGCAGTAATTATTAAAAGCTTTTAGAAGTTACTCATATGCTTTGACTAGAAATTTGTACTAAGGGATGTGGTGAATAAAACAATTTATATATTAGGATGTTTGTTGCATTGCTAATGGTGAATAATTGGAACTATTTTCAAGATCCAACAATGAGGAATTGTCAGATCTTCACTGACCAATATGATAGCCACCAGCCCATATGTGGACATTTAAATTTAATTGAAAATTAATTAAAATTAATGAAAATTAAATTTTCAGTTCTTCAGTTGCACTAACCATGTTTCAAGTGCTCAATAGCCAAGTATGGATGGTAGTCACCTGACTGAATAGGGAGTATTATAGAGCCATTCCATTAGCACAGAATGTTTTTCTGAACATTACTGGCTAAATAACCAGCATTAGGGGCACCCCTGGAGCTTAGTGAGCTGCATGTTGCAGGTCCCCTCACCCCGAGATTCTGATTCTAGACCTAGTGTGTGACACCTGGTGATCCGAATTTTTAACAGTATCTACCCTCATGCACACTAAGGTCTGAGGTGGTACATTTCATGGGAAGGCTAATAATATAGGCTTTAAGTTGATTTGAGCATAAGGTAAGTGAAAAATAGAACAAAGAAGGGATTGGTGAGAGCAGTTTTCAAGCAATCTTATGGAAACCCCTTAATGTTTGATTGAGCAGCTTACACATTACTTGGTAGATTTGGATTGACTTGAATATAGCTGCAAATTTATGAGCAGAGAAGGGGCACTCTCTGAAGTGGAAAGATTAATTTAACAGTAGTCAATGAACAGGACTGGTGGGGAAGAAATTGGAGGTGGGTAGATAACTAGGAGACTATTATTCATCATTCAGGAAATGGGAACATGAGCTCAGGACAATACCAGTGGAAATGGAGAGTTACATGGTACAGACTCTTTAGAGGTAAAATCTGGAACTTGAAAACTAAAATAAGATATGGAACAGATCAGGGATCTGAATTTCAAGCAACTGTCTTAAAAGGAAAAAGACGGGATAAAATTATTATAGTAAAATATTTATTCTAATTTTTAAAAATTAAGTTTTAGGGAAGCAAATGCTATGATAATTGGCCATAGCTTTCATTATGATAAGATTTTAGTAACATAAGGAATAAGGTCACACTGTAGGATGTGAAGACTATTTTTCTGGTTATCATTCAGAATAAAATACTCACAGAGGGAAGAATTTAGATGAATGGCTTACAGATGATCATGAATAAAATAAAATACTTAATATCATTTCAATAAAGTTTTCTGATTCTTCACTCTTAGAAATCTTCAGTAATTTCTTTCCAGAGTGATTAGCATTGCCTCTATGTTGATAATAAAAAACCCACAGTACTGTATTTTATAAACTTTTGCCACCTCTTAAAAAACAAACAAACAGAAGATAGTAATTTAATCATTTAATAATTGGAATAGAACTTACAGAATGAATGCATGCACTTAGTTTCATTAAAGGTCTTAAATCTAAGCAATTGGATAATTTATATTCTAATGAGTAGAATTGGGAAAAGTGAATTATATTTCATAGGAAATCATGGAGGAAAATATTTAAGATAGTCACAATCATTAAGCCACTTATGATAAATAAAATGGTGATTTTTTAAAAAAATAAAATAACAAGTACATTTGGTTATATAACCGTTTAATTTATTGTCCACATTTCTTAAAAAGCATGCTGATATGAGTGTTATTTATTGCTGATAAAATGTTGATTATTCATAATGCGTTATAGAAGTTTATATAATCATTCTGTGGATTAGCGATTGTGATCTCTTTGTGTCTAGCTTTTCTTTAAACACACATACAGTCTCATATACACATACGTTTTACACACACACATGCATACACATGCACACATAATATATATCAGACGGTATATATTGGAAATTAGCTATTTGTAGTATATATAATAAATGTTGATTCTAAAGACTATGTTTATATAGAATACACAGCTATTTTATAAATACATGTTGGTCATCTTTACTATTCAATTTATTTTTTGTATGTGTTCATAAAATATAATCGATATGAATCCTATTATATGCTGTAGGATTTCCTATATAGTGTACATAAAAATATTAAACAGTTTTATACTTATATATCTGACATTGTTCTCACTACTTTAAATATTATTATATTTCCTTAATCTTTATATATAGCCCTATGAGATTGATGCTATTATTCCCATTTTATAGATGAAGAAATTGAGGCACAGAAAGGTTAGGTAACTTGCTTAAGGTAACATATTTAAGTGGCAGAGCATGAATCTAAATCAGTTCAGTCTGGCTCTAGAGAATGTGCTCTAAATTACTATCATATTGTAGACACTACATATAGTGTATATAATAAATATCTGTCACTTATGTGTGCATATATGTGTATGTATATGTATATGGTACACACTGATAACATTGATGTGCACATTGAATTCTGTTATTTTTTCTCTTTTTAACATATATATTTATTTCAGATGCTTTGGATTTTCTTAGAATTTAGAATTGGAGAAAACATAATGTACCGAGAGAGAGGGCATGCCGCCGGGAGAAGTCTATGTGGCTGATTGCCCAGAGGCCTCGCAGGGTGGCATTTCCTTGCTGAATTAATGAAGAGCTAGTGCTACTCAGTAGACCCAGACATGATCAGACCTTTCGTAAAGGAAGGACACCAAAATCACCTTGACCTGACCTATGGATCAGAATGCCAATTTGTTAGTCTACTAGAACGTTCCTGTCCCCTAACCATAGCAACTTCTTTGCTGAAAACAAGATGTCATTTATGAAGCCAAGGTAACTCTTCCTATTCAAAGAAGCTATTTTCTCAAGCCTGAGTGACTTCATATAAATCCCGGTTCTGGTATATAATAGTGGGATACATTCTTTAACTGCTCTGTGCCTCAATTTCTCAATCTGTAAAATGGGATGAATCCTGGGACCTGACTCACAGGTGGTGATAAAGCTGAAGTGAGTGAACAAATATAAAAAAACAGTTATCTGTAACATTAATAGCACTACAACTACAGCTGCTGCTAATTATTATATTAATGCTAAACTTTCAGATCAGACATTTATAAATTAAAGTCAAACCTGGTGATTTTGATTCAGTACTTACAGTATGTCAAAGCAGATTCCTCAGGCCCCTCTTCCTACATAAGCCCACCATTGGCCAAAAATCAATTCTCCAACAGGAGTTCGCTTCAGTAAAATGGCTACAGCAAAATATCTTAGATTGGATTTGAGTTCATTTTTGTCAGGTTTTGATGAACTGGGTGTTTGGAAAACTGGCCTTTTTGGTAATTTCTCCACTTGGTGACCTGGCTTTTGGGAAATGGGTCTTTCACACTTCTACCCAGAACTTCTTTTTGGGGTTACAGTACAGTGTATATTCACTTATAACGAAAGAAGGGATGTGCTAAAACCTTGCTGTCAGTAAATGTGTATTTTCAATCTAGCCATGTAAGTTTGTCAATTATTAGAATCCATACTGTTTGCCAATGACAGTATTTTGGTTAAGGTTTTCTTACTGCATCCTAAGATTTTTGCTTATAATATTTTATTAAGTAATTTATTTTTAGACTCAAAACATATACTTCTCTATATTTTGTATTTTGTGATTTGACTCTTCTAGGAAGTTTTTACTAATTAAAAAAATCCATTTTTCATTATTTAGGATAATTCACCAACTACATCCTTCCTAAACACGTTATTTTACCTTTTAAATATGCCTGTGCATAGATACATTGTTTGATTTTTCACAAATCTTGAAATTCTTTAAAGGGAGAAATTATTACATTATTTGTTATTTCAGGTATCTATTAATATGTAACATGTTTTGCTGAGTTCTGTAAAAGCTTACTTTCTGGCTAAACTCTAACTGGCCCTGTAGATAAAATGGTCACTATTTGAATGTGTTATATTTTATGATGCTTGATGATATTTTAAAACCATTTTCAGGATGAAAGTTCAATAGAAAGTGATGAATTTGATATGAGTGATTCAACACGGATGTCAGCTGTGAACTCCGATCTTAGCTCCAATCTTGAGGAAAGAATGCAAAGTCCTCAGGCTCTTCATGGCCAGCAAGATGGTAAGCCTTTCAAACTGAATAAACACAACAACAGAAATCTGAGTCAGAATGTATGAAAACATCTCATTCTCTTGTGCCAATTTTTTATCTGTTCCTACAGGGACTTTGTACGCTCAGGTTCCATTATCCACTTTCACTATTTTTTGGATTCAAGTATTTTGTTTAAAACTAGTGTGACAGACTGATTTATAAACAGATGTTAGTTATAAAAATCCAAGCTTGGCCACGTTTTGCTCCCTGAACATAAAATGTGTCGTATCAGTGTGGTTTTGGTTTCTGCAATGTTTCCTAGCTTTGGTTTCTTGAGCCATAATAACTAAGAGTTTAAAAATGATCAGAAGAGTAATTTGGATGTTTTAATTTTCCTAAAAGACAAAATTGTAATTAAAAAACAACTTACATAAAAGGACAGTTTTACCAAAGTGATTTTGCTGGGTAAGGAGATTTTTGCTGGGATTTTGACCTACTTTATTCAGCAGTAAAGGGAAAAAAAAGATCATGATCTCTTATTCCTGGGTCCATTGACAATCCCTGAATTATCCAATTGTTCTTGACAGGAAGAAAACTGGATATGAGAAAGTACACTAGGCAGTTAATGTTTTAAGTCTCCTATTTGCAGAGATCTTTTAAAAATTATTTTGTAGATTTCTATCTTTGTAAGTATAGAATAATGTGTGAAAATAAATGTACCTTACGAGGGTCATTGTGAATGAAAATGAAGGGTTATAAATAAAAGGCAAATGGCCAATTTTATTCAACATTAGTTTATTATTCCTGTAATTAACAAATTTACATGAACTTTTTTGACTGTATAATTTTGTGCCTACATCTGTAGATAGGGAAATAAAACATTTTTCTTGCTTTCTCTGATACTTGCTATTAAAAACTGGTTGTAAAAGATTATTCCTGGATTTCTAGTGGCTATTAGTGATCTGCTTTTGCTGTCAAGGTTTAAGAAATCCGTAGTTTTAAGTATACCAAAAGTTCAAAAAAAAAAAAAAGTGGCAAGGGTGTTTCTTTTCACAGTTCAGATGAGTCTAAAAGATGTTGGTGTCCTTGGCACGAATTACAAGGAAGGAGGAGCGCGTTGATCAGTGGCCTTAAAATCATATCTTACCCACTACAGAGTAGCATAGCTATTGGGATAGAAAGGACGTTTACTTGGGAAATTTCTAAGAATGAAGTTTTTCTGGTTTGGATATAAATTATCTTTTTTTAAATTATTTATTTATTTATTGGAGAGAGAGGGAGAGCACGGAGGGAGACTGAGGGAGAAGTAGACTCCCCACTGAGGAGGGAGCCCGAGGCAGGACTCGATCTCTGCACCCTGAGATCATGACCTGAGCCGAAGGCAGACGCTTAACTGACTGAGCCACCCAGGCGCCCCCATCTTTTTTCTTTTAAAATATGAGTAGACGTCTTCAGATTTTGATTTTTTATTGGAAATTGTCTAGCACTGGGATCATAGCATAACGGAAATATGTATCAGTGATATATCACTCTACTAATATTTGTTCATGTGTTTTGCCTGTTGATACCATCATCTTTTTTAGTCTATAATTTTAGAGAATGTAAATAACAAGAGGATGTGTTCCATGATGCAAATTCATGGTTTTCTTGTTTGAAGTTGCAGTTGTGGATCTTTGGCTAGGGAATAGCTGATGTGATATAAATCTGTATTGATTTTAATAAAATCCAGTGGAATAATTTCAAATATTATTTACTCTGAGGGGAAAGTACTTTCTCATCATATATCAATGTATGCCTCAAGGATAAGGACATATCTAGTCATTCCTTCTCCAACCTAAGCCTAACCCTTCCTGCCTTTTCCTCACACTTCTCACTGAGTTTTCTCTTGCAGGTACTTCTATTCTTTTCCTACATACAAGCCTGGTGTAATAAATGTCCTTTTTAGAAAGCCTCCTCTGATCCCATTGTTACCTTCCATTCCGTGCCCCATTCCTCTGCACCATTCCCACAACACACTTTCCAGCAAAACTCATTTAAGGACTTGGCTCATCATCTCCACTTTCTCCCTTCTGCTCCTTCTGCTCATCTCGGGTAAGCTTTCATCCTTGCCACTCCACATTGGAGAGCCCTAGGGTGCAACCCTTAACTCTCTCTTCCCCTGCATTCACTCTCTAGATGATCACATTGAATCATGTAGCTTTTAATACCATCTGTACCCTGATAAATCCCAAATTTACTTCTCCAAGCCCTGATATCTTTCCTGAGCTCAGGACTATCTCCCCCAGACACCTATATTTTAATATTCTTCAGAAGACTTATCATTGTATGAAATGATATTATTTTTCTTATTTATTAGCTGTTTCTCTTCTAAAATACAAATGCCATATTAATGAATAGATCTTATGTTTTTGATTTTCCTTTCAGTTGTTCCATTTGAGGTAGTTCTTGAATGCCTCATTATTAAAAAAATGAAAATATAACTTTTTACCATTATTATGATTTGCCACATAAGTTTTACATGTTTTTTTCACTTTTTTTATTTTCTCCTTTCCCCTGACAGTAGCACTCTCCTAGGGAATCCGCATTGACCAACTACTGTATCATTCTATTTCCTCTGTACTTATACACACATACACACACATGAACACACCCAGACACACACACACACACAAACATATGTACATACTCAGAAGATTTTCTCACTGTTCTTTTATAAAAATAAGTTCATATCATTTACACTATTCTGTATCTTGTTTTTCTCATCCAATATTACCTTTCTTTTAGAGCTTCCTATAGACGAATACATATATTATGAAATCCCTATATAATGGTGAGCAAAGACATGGTCCCTACCTTCATGTAGCACACAATCTAAAGGAATAAAATTGTATATGACATCACTCACGTTTGATTACTGTTCATCTACCCAATGTGGGGAAATTCCAGCCTCTGTAAAAATAAGAATTCGTGGTAGTAAAATTTGTAGTTTATGTCTATCTTTCTTAAGTTAGTGGGGGCTCTGAGTGCTAGACATATATTGGATCTAGGGGGTATTACTTTCTTGTAGATGGTGTACATTGATATTTGAGAGTAGTCAGAAGTTGGGGGACTTAGGATATAACAAATCCAATTTTGGGTGGGCAATCCACATACAGCTTCAATCTAGAGTAGTCTAGTCCGGAGTTTCTCAACTTGGGCAAGATGGACACGGCATTCATTGTTGTGAGGGATATCTGTGCATTGTAGGGTGTTCAGCGGTGTCTCTGGCCTCCACTTACCACGTGTCAGTATTAAATCCTGTCTCCCAAATTGTGACAACCAGAAATGTCTCAGACATTGCAAATGTCCCATGGGGGGGCATAATCTCCCTAGGTTGAGACCAACTGGTGGAGGCAGAGAAGGAGGGTCTGAATAAGAATCCAGTAAGATGGAGATTGAAGAGACCTAATGAAGAGAAGTTTAGAAGTGGAGGTTGGAGAAGAGTCAAGGAATCGTATTAAGTCTACTTTCTGAGATAACAGAAATGTTCTATATCTGTGCTGCTAGTAAGATAGTCACTAGCCATGCTGCAGCTATGGAGTACTTGAAATATTGCTAGTGCAACTGAGGGACTAATGTTAATTTTAATTTGATTTAACTTTAATTAATGTTAACTTAAATTTAAATAGTCACATGTGGCTGGTGGCTATTGTGTCAGGTGGGGTGGTCTAGAATATTGTTTTACTCTGACTTGGCAGTTAAATGCCTTTCTCTGTAGCCATGGGTTTGATGTTTCTGAAGTCTTTAGAGAAATTATAGGTGAAACTCACATTTTAACAGTCAGCTGGAACCCAAGTTTAATATTTGTAGAATATGAATAATGTAACATTTTAAATTTTAAATTAAAAGGTTCTATTTTCTTTACTACTAAGTGATCAATTTATTATTGTAAAGAAATTGAAATACTGTGATTTTTAAAAATCTTTCCCCATAACTATAACACAGGTAGGTATAATAATGTCTTTATTAGACAAATGGAGAGTTAAAAATCCCTTTTTAAAGTTTTTTTTTCCTCACTGTGGTTATGAAAGATTTGCAATTTAATCAGTTCGAAGGGAAATAATACAAAATCATTTGGGGGATATATGTATATTATGTGTGTTGGAGAAAGAGAAGAAAAGAAGAGAAATATCTTGCCACTGGGCTAGATATTTAGGTAAAGTTCAAGAAGACATAAACCGGAACGAAGAATTTAGAAGAAGGAAAATTGATGTATAATATTCAGCTTCTTTTGTTTATTTTAAGCTTATAATGCTTCCCTAAGTCAACAACAACAAAAAAATAAAAGTAAAAAATGCGCAAAACTCCTGAATCTTAGCATAGTAAATATTTAACCTATTTTACCTTTAAAATATTGAGGTATAATTGACATATAACATATTAGTTTCTGGTGTACAACACAATGGCTTGATATAGGTATTTATTATGAAATGGTCACCACACTAAGTCTAGTTAATATCTATCACCATACATACTTACAGTTTTTTTCTTGTCATGGGAAGTTTTAGAATCTCCTCTTTTAGCAAGTTTGAAATAAGCAATACAGAATTATTAACTGTAGTGACCATGCCATACATTGTATCCCCAGGACTTATTTTATTTTTTTATAACTGGAAGCTTGTACCCTTTGTCCACCTTCACCCAGTTTTGAGTAAAATATATTAAGCTATGTAAAACTTTACAGACTTCAAATAATTCCTGCAGGCTAAAATCATTTAAAGATTCCATAGTCACTTGAGTTAATCATAAAAGCAGGAGGTCCTTGGAGCTATCATGAAACATAAGTAGCTAATTGTGAAAGAGGCTCTCCTATGCAATGGCTGTGGTTTACAGGATTCCAAAAGGTATTCCAGATCAAAAAGCTTAAATATGGGGGCACCTGGGTGGCTCAGTTTGTTAAGCGACTGCCTTCAGTTCAGGTCATGCTCCCGGAGTCCTGGGATCGAGTCCTGCATGGGTCTCCCTGCTCAGCGGGGCGTCTGCTTCTCCCT